CTGCAAGAACAACCAGTGTTCTTAACCACTGAGCCATCTCTCCAGCCCCGATATTCTCTTTTTAAACTTGGAGTTTATTTTCAACCAATATAAGAACTGGTCATGACTGACTTGTGCATGGACAAAAATGCTTCAAGATGCACAAAGAACTGCAAAATGGTTCACAGTGACCGGCACTTTCAGCGCTGGAGAAAGGAGGACTGCAACACCCTGCCCTCTGCTGAGCAAACACTATTCTGCTGTCTGGAGAAGGTTTTGGGTTGTCACCATGAAGTCCCCTTTTCTACCTCTAGCATCTATGGTTCAACATCATTCCAATGGCGCTTTCAAAGCTGATGTGCCACTTGCACATGTGCTGACGTCACTTCTTAAGACGAAAATGCAAGAAATAGCAAGAAAATGCCCCAAGGCTTCTGTTCTGACTTCCCTGGTCTCCCAGAGAAGAGCAGACAAGGGGTCAGGCAGACACACCATCATGCCAATGTGCCACGGTCCCTAGGAAGGGGACAGAGCTTGGCTTTGTATTCAAGAAAGGAGACCAGTGATCCCAGGCAGAACAGAACCCAGGATTCTGGCCCCATCGACACCATCCCTAACAATGGCGGGTCTGCCAAGCACTAATCGGACTCTTCCTATGCTTCAGTCATTTTCTATTCAGTAAGTCTAGAGTTTCCCTGCCAGCTCTTTACGTATCTTTGTCTTTAATCCCCACTAGGACGTGTGCTTTTCCGCTTTCAGAAGCACCTCAAAGCCAATCACTTCCATTTGCAAAACACAGAGTTGTTCCTGCTACATCTCAGACTAAGAAAAATCTGTCTGGGGCTGGAGAGAGGCTCAGTGGTTAAGAGCACTGGCTGCTCTTGCAGAGGCCCTGAGTTCGGTCCCCAGCACCCACGCAGCAGCTAACAACCATCTGTAACTCCAGTTCCAAGAGAGTCGACGGCCTCTTCTGACCTCCATGGGCATTGTATGACACGAGTGCACCTACCTACATGCAAACAATACACTCATACACATAAAAAATAATAGTAAATAAAATATTTATTTTTTAAAAAACACACCTGCCTGACTATTCTATCACACAATGATCACCCCCACATAGAAACTTCTTCCTAAAACTATTCTCTTGATCAAGCCATGGTACAGATGTGAAGAATCTGACTGAATACTACGTAGGTCTCTGTCATATTCATAAATATAGTTTATTAAAACAGGCTGCAAATAACAGGTCTAACTAAAAAGGAATGTCAGTGTCTGTCATATGTCTTCCCATATTACCTTTTCTTTCTAGAATGTTTTTAAAATTCACTATTAGTTTGTGTGTAGGTGTGCACAATGTGGGGAAGGGTGGCAGGTAGAGATGAGAGGACAACTTTGTAGAGTTGGTTCTCTCTTTCCACCTTGGGTTCCAGGTCATCAGGCTTAGCAGCAAGTGCCTTTACCTCTGAGCCATCTCGCCTGCTTCCCACTGCCTTTCCAAGCACTGTCAATTCAAACCTTTCCTCTGGTGCCGTCCCGCTGAGCCACGTAATGGAAGAAGCACCACCCGTAGCAAACAGAGTAGAACCCCAGAGTGAAGGCTGCATGTGTGTGTGCGACACTGAGTGTGATCAGTGAAGATGCCTTACTCCCTAGAAAGTGGAGATTCCTGGGGAAGTGTCTTTGCACTTGGGGAGGACCGTCATGAACCCAACTCTTGCCTTCACACCCGTTAAAGCCCCTTCTCTTTCTTTGCCATGTTCCCAAAGTCCTTCCTTTCCCAGCAGGCCCTCAGGATTCCCAAGCATCCTGCTGTAAAGTCCTCCAGCAGTGCATGAAATACAGTCCCAATCCTGCCACTGTTGACTTGGGCACACCACCCAAAAGCTCTGGACTCTGTTCTTACCCACTGATGGTTTGGACTGGGCCACTTGCACTCCCCCCGCCGCCATCCCCTCAGTGGCACTGACCGTCTGTAGAAAACTATTTCAAGCACAGCTCTGGTCCTTAGCAGCGGCTGTGTGTGCTACAGTGGGCAAACCCTCAATGACCTTTGTTGATGCTCTTGACCTTCAGCAGAACCTCCACTTTGAGCCCCATCAAGCATCACCTTGTTAGACCCAGTACATGTCTATCTGGAGCAGATGCCCCCCATTCCTCCCTCGCAGTAGTACCCTGGATACCGCCTTCCGTTTCTCAGGATTTGTTTCCATTAGGTCTGCACCTCAGTCTATTATAACACACTTCCCGCACTCATTTTGTTCTTCATTCTTAAAGTTTGCAAACCCTCTGTGGCCATGAGCCTCCTCCTCCCACAACAGCAGACAGATGAAACAAAGCCAACCTGCAGATCAAATCCAGTCTGCCACTTCTAGAAATAAGAGGTTCTGGGAGCTGCGTCATTGCCACCTAGAAGGGAACTCTGATCGCGAGATACGAAATAGAAACAGACACACAGAGCTGCAGCGCCTCCCCCAGGCACTTGCCCTGGGACTGAGGACTGGGTGACTCCATCGGGGATGTCTCTACCTAGCACCTCTAAACATGATCCTGGCACTCTGCCCATCCTAGGGCTCCTTAATGTCTCAGGATGCAGCCACCCTTCTGGCTGGTCTTCTGTACTTACTATGCAGACTGTTCATGCCAGGAAACCAACCAGCAGACATTATGGTGCAGACAATAATGAATGTGAACTTGCTTCACATGAGCTTTCGAAGTCTGCATCAGGAACCACACTGGGCCCCTCAAAATCCCAACATGCTCCAGGATGCTTCATGAGATACTGGCTCCCACTGAGACCTGAGCAAATATATTTTTACCAGTGTGCCTAGGAGACGTGGGGGCATGCCAGCGGGAGACACATTCTGAGGGTCTCTACAGACTAACTGTTCTCAGTAACTCAGAAGCATTCTGACTCAGCTTCCACTAAGCATGACTCACCCACTGCACACCACTGCTACCCTGGGGATCCCAGGGCCCAGCCAGCCTCTCAGAAAAACAATTCCCTTGGCTTTATCCTTTGCACAGAGCTGAACTTCAGTTCAGTGTGAATTCTACAGAGTCCACTTTACCAAGGACTCTGATGTTCCTACATATAATCCCTCACACCTGCTCAGAGCATCACACACAGTTAGTTATACACATATATACACACGTACACATATATGCACATGTAGATACATACACACAAAATATACACACACATATATACATAATATACACACACATGCACATACACATAGAACTTACATTTCTGCCCTATCACGTGATTGACAGCTCTTCAATATGGACACCACTTTCCTTGGCTTTTGTGTGAAGAAAGTGTGACTCAGAAATGTCCTGCGACCTGCTGGGCCCTGTCCTCTTTGGATCTGCTGTACTGTGGTTCAGACTGCTAACAACTGACTATGTTTGCTTCTCTAAAGGACCAGCAGGGAATGAATTGATTTTTCTAGAAATGTCTGACTCACACACAGAGACAGCCACCTGTGTATTTCCAAGGCTAGTCTTGAAGCCCAGAATATGGTATCCACAACAGGTCAGAGCATCCAGAAACGACCCCGGGCCCTGGGAACTCAACCAGAAGCTCACTTCTGTGCTCAGTGTCACGCAGGCTGGCCACCTCAGGAAGTCTGCCAAGGGAGACACAGGCACTGCGACAGTGCATGTGGCCTTCCAGGCCGAGGGAGTGTCAGCTTCCCGAGCCAACAGTTAAGTGTGTGACCCACCCTGGCTCTCTACTGTCAGCTGAGACACAGGCTTAGCGGCCACTCCCATTGCTAAGAAGCAGAGTCTGAAGCCAAGAGCCCAGGGAGGAGAGCAGGAGAAAACACCACAGCAGGGTAGGAGAGGTGCTGGGGGGCTCAGGGTGTGACACCGAGTACAGGATGGTCACACCCAAGACGTGCAGACATGGAGACATGTCACCTAGAGCCATTCCCACAGCAGCATCAGCGTTTCCCAAGACATGGTAACTGTGTCACATAGAAAGAAAAAGAAAAGAGGGCCAGAAAAGCTATAGAAGATCAAATAAGGCCTCGGAATTCCTGACGCAGGGCTGGGGAGCTGGCCCTGTGGATAAAGCACTTGCCACACAAGTGAAGGCAGGAGTTCAGATCCCAAAGCCCCACCTAAATGCTGGGTTGGTTTGGTGATCCACCTGTAATTCCAGCATTCGAGAGGCAGAGACGGGATCCTTGGGATAAGTTCACCAGCCAGACTGAGCTGAACCCAGGCGCTCCAGGTTCAGTGAGTGAGAGAAAACAATGAAGGAAGACACTTGACGCCGACCTCGGCCTCCACAGTCACGCACAGAAATGTGCACCATGTGCATGTACACCTACACACATGACAACACAGATACACACATACCACACACATACACACTTGAAAAAGAGAATTCCTAATGCATCCAGCACATGAATATCTAAGACCCCACGTTCCCCCTATGGATATTTTTGGACATCTGGCATTTACTACAATGACTGGGGGACCCCATTCCTAGTCAGTCCCTCAGGAGGACACACTGACGGGTCTTACAGAGCCCCCGTGTTTACCTTCCTACTCCCACGTTGCAGCCATCAACCTGAGGCTTGGCCATCACACCTGGCCTCCTGAGTCCCTGGCCCTGACTGCTTCTGAGACGTGTGCTCGGTTCAAGGTTTCCACTAGCCCAAGAGCAAGGTGTGTCCTGCTGTAGGGAGTTCTAAAATGACAGACCCACAACAAAATGCAAAACTTGTGATGACAACTTTTCTGCACTTTCTGTCAGTTGATGGTGTCCTTGGAGCAAACGGTCAGCCTTGCTATGATCCCTGCTTGCGCCTACAAGTCTCCCTGTGTCTTTCCCACCTTCCTTGAAGCTTACTTCCAGTCCTTCATGTAGCCGTAAGCTGGGACCGCCTATTGCTGGAGCCTGCTAGTTCTGGGAGGCATACATACTCAAGGTGTGCTCTGGCTACATCGGACAAACACGCACTGGCGTCTGGACCTCCCTCCCTGCCCGCTGGCCCCGCACCTACCTGACAATCCGCATCGCAGTAAAACGCCTGCTTGCATCTTCCACATTTTGACAACCCTTCTTTCCTTAAAAAGAGAAAGGGCACTGTAGTGGTGAGAGGCAGAAAGACATTCAGCTCTGAACGGGCAAAAGCCATCTGGTCAGATTGGAGAGCCAAGATCCACCTTAGCTGACTGCCCACAAAGTGCATCTCCCCAAGGAGGTGCACACCAGCTTCTGCCTGAGGACTTAGAGACTACACAGCAACGCTTGCTGAGGCCGGCCAGAGAGAGATGGAGGCCACGTGTTCTGATTCAGGGCCCTCCACCTGGGCCCCAACCTTTCATATCCCCTGTACTAATTCTCTTGTGTCTTGATTTCCTGGTGTTTACTAACAAGGTCTAGAAATCAGCAACAGCATGTTGTAGGTTACAGCCCACGAAGGACTGTCAGGGCACAGCTGTTCCTGTGGTTACAGCAGGTGAGGAACACACTCTGCTCAGACTGCAGGTAATACAGGGGTGGGTTCAAATGGGAGTCAAGTGTAAAAACAATGCCACCAGCGGTCTGGGACCTGTTCTTGAATTCAATGTCATGACACACGGTTGGCACACATATCTTTCTTGCTGGGGTTCCATCTGAGGTCCTGTTGTCTCTTCAACACTCTGGCCATGTGGCCTGTTCATCACTACATGATTTTCCTAGCTCACAAGGGCCAGGGACAGAGCACTGTTCTGACTGTGAGGAGCTAGCGAGTGTGTGTTTGTGTGTATGCCCACGTGTGTGTGACCTATATGTGTGTGAGACCTATGCATGTGTGTGTGCGAGTGCTCTGTGGGTGTGTGAGTGTCCTGTGTGTTTGTATGAGTGCTGTGTTATGTGTTGTGTGTGCTGAAAGGGCATGTGTGCTGTGTATGTGTGTGCTCTGTGTGTGCTGTGTGTGATAAGCCACAGCTCTTTCAAAAACTGTGAGCCACTGAACTAAACCAAAAACTATAAAAGCCTCAACTTTTCAAACTGGAGAGATGCTCAGCAGTTAAGAGCACCTCCAGCTCTTACAGAGAACCTGAGTTTGTTTCCCAAAGCCCACACCAGGTGGCTCCTGACTACTGTAACTCCTGGGGCTCTGATGCCCTCTTCTGGCCTCCATGAACACACATGGTGCACAGAAACTCACACACACAAATACATTAATACATAAACAGAAACCTTTTTAAAAAACTTAACTTTTGAGAAGCGAGGAGTGACCATATCACATAAATCAGAGAGAAACTGCTGTCAAACTGTCACTCAGGAGGGGCCGACACCAGGGGCGTTCTTGCTGCTGTAAGGAGGCCTGCGGTGCTCCAGTATCTGTCTTCCCTCCCTGGGGGCCGCCTGGCGCCCCCCTCAGCCCCCCGCAGCCCCGCATGGCTGATGTAGCAGAGGGCTGACATGGGGGACAGGCTGACATGTCCTAATGGGCATCTGTCTATTCAGGCTGCAGACCCCCTCCTCTGCAGTCAGGCAGCACCACCTTCCTCCCAATGATGGAGAAAGCGGAAGGAACCACTACCACGAGAACTGAGCAGACAGCTGCAGCTTGCCAGACAGCGCCGGAATTCAGGGAGCTGACCCGAAAACGAGGAGAAAAGCACGGCTCGGTGGGGAGACACAGATAAATATTCTGAGTTTGTCCCTCTCAGCAGTTCAGAAAGGAACCTACTAATTTGGCCAAGCGGAGTCTCCCCAAGGGCAGAGAAGACTCCAGAAGCTTGGGAGCTGGCCACTTGCACTTTATACTGAGGTGGAGAGGTCAGAGGGGTACTTAGACACAGCTGTGAAGTGACCTGTCAGCACCTGGCAAGGGGTGTGGGCCTGGGAGAGATGCCAAGGGGCTGGAGCAGAGGCAGCCAAGCCAGAGAGGGCACGTTCAAGATTCCAGAGGTGGATGATGGGTGGGAGACGCATGGCACAAAGTCAAGTGAATAATTTGCTTTTCTTTTGTAGGGAAGCAGCTCGGAGCTCTTCTTGAAAAGTTGATGAAAATTATTAATGTTTCTCATAATTTATACCCCCAGAAAACTGTATAAAAATCCAAGGGCTCCTAAGCCCTCCTCAGAACATCGAAGATGTCAGGGCATGGTGATGCATGCCTCTAATCCTAGCACTTGGGAGGTGGAGGTAGGAGGATCAGTAGTTCAAGGTCATCCTAGACTACAGAAGGAGTTCAAGTCCAGCCTGGGCTATGAGACCCTGTCTCAACCCATTCTTGAAAAAGAACACCACGCCACCAAAGAAACTCCCTCATGTAAAAGAGTATTCATCACAGTTGAAAATAAACATTTTAGCTCAACCACATACAAAAAGCTAAAGCTAAGGGCTCTGCAAGTCACCAAGTTCTGAAGCTAGCATGAGGTCACTCAGAAAGAAAGCTTCAAAGTTTCAGTTTCTACAGAGAATGGGAGAGAGGGAGGGAGGGAAGGAGGGAGGGAGGGAGAGAGAGAGAGTCAAAGGATCTCTGGGCCTCCTAGGTTCTGATCTGGAACTGGGGGGAGAGAGAGAGAAAGAGAGAGAGAGAGAGAGAGAGAGAGAGAGAGAGAGAGAGAGAGAGAGAGAGAGAGAGAAAGAGAAACAGGGCAGAGCTCTAGGGGGCTTCACTGAAATTCCAGACGCCCCAAGGCTGTCCTTTACCAGGACCAGCTGAGTCACCAACTCTACCAGCCACAAAATGCAAAGGAGGAAAAAGTAAGCCTCTCATGTTGGGAAGGGTCCTGGAGACCTTTCAGGGAGTTAGTGAAATCATATCAGTATCATGGTGGCACCTGCTTGTAATCCCAGCACTGGGGCGGTTGAGCCAAGAGGTGAGGAGTTCAAGGCCAGCCTCAGATACATAGTGAGCTTTGGGCTGCATAAGGCCCTGTCTCAGGAAACCCAAACCAGGTTGGGGATATGGCTCAGAAGGTTAAAGGCACTTGTCACCAAGCCTGGTGACCTGAGTTGGATTCCTGGGACCTATATGGTAGGAGAAAACAGACTCATGCAAGTTATCCTCTGACCTCCACATGCATGCTGTGGAGGTGTACACACACACACACACACACACACACACACACACACACACACACACACACACAAAGTAAATATAATTTTTAAAAGAAACAAAAATCCTGGCATTTTCCCCACCCCCTTTATGCAGACAGGATAGGTTGTCAAAACCTGGGAGTAAAACTTCCAGTTCCTTAGCAGGAAGTCTCAAAGCCACAGCAGTCACGCGTCCTGAAGCCACTGGGCTTGTCGCTTGCCCCTCACAAGCCGGGAAGCCAATGTCACCAAAGAGTGTCCTGATGCGGCAGTGGGACTTACCACTTTTACCAATCTTGGTTCCTAAGTGTGTGTCTTTTTAAAACTTTGCATGATTACTACTGTGTGTCTGTATGTGTACAATATGTACACAGGTACGTGTCATAGCATGCAGGCTGAGGTCAGTGAAGAACTCTGTGAAGTTGGGTCTCTCCTTCCACCTTAAGCGGGTTCTGCAGATGGACCAGGTCACCAGGCTTGTGCAGCAAGTGCTTTCCCCACAGAGCCATCTCATGAGCCCCGAAGCATGTTGTTTTTGATAGTTAAGGTGAACCAGGAAGAACGTGACGTGTTATTGCTTCATGCAGGAGTACCAGAGCATGTCCTGGACAGGCACCTTGCGGTTGTCAGCACTTGAGGGGCCACTTTGTTCTTGGAATTTTTTTTAACTTAAAAGAATCATTTAGACAACTGTGACTATTCAGATGAATATCTGGCAGATTAACTGATGACAAGACGTACGTGAGGCTGTCACTTTCTGGAAAACAGTATCATTGTTGCTAATGATGAAATCTGAGCTTGTGAGCCAGAGTCGGAATTTGGGATGAGTTAGGGATGAGTTTGTCATCCTGAGTTTGAAGGCTTCTCTAGAAGAGGCCACTTTCTCTCACTTTCTAGAAGAGGCCAGAGGTGAGGTTAACAGAAGTGATTTTAAATACAGTTTGAGGAACTCAGTCAACCTTTGGAAGACACAGGTCACTTAGTGGGCCATTATTTTCCAAATGACCAATTATGAGGTTTTAGAAGTCAGGCACAGGTCTGGGAAGATGGCTCAGTGGGTAAAAGCGCTTGTTGAAAAGTGAGAGGACCCGAATTCAAATCCCCAGTAGCCACGTAAAAGCCAGGCATAGCTGAATGCCCCTGCAACTCCAGCACTGGAGGGAGGAGGTGGAGACAGGTGGCTGCTGGGATACTGCTGGCCACATACACAGACCCTGTCCTCCCAGATATGGTGGTGAAGGATGGGGAAGACACCCAACATCCTCTACATGACACCACATGGGCACGTGTCCACACACATAAGTCATGAATAGGCTGGGATGCAGCTCAGTAACACAAGGCTTTGGGTTTGATCCTCAGCACCAAAAAGAGTTAGGTATGGCTAAAGATCATTTAAGGTACAAGATAGGGGGCTGGAGAGATGGCTCAGTGGTTAAGAGAGCACCCATGTGGGGCAGCTCCAAACTGCCTTAATTGCAGCTCCAGAGGATCTGATGTCCTCTTCTGGCCTCCTTGGATATCTGCACTCCTGTGTGCACGTGTGCGCGCATGCACACACACATGCACACACATACACATAATTAAAAATAAAAATAAAACCTTAAAAAAATAAAGTGCAAGCTACACCAGTGGGTTCTAAAAACCTAAGAACATAAAGCTGGCTGACGCGACTTCCGACTGTGCAGTATAAGACCACATTACTTAACAAGTTTTAATGTGAATTACAGAATATCCACATTTAACCAAAAAGGTTACTAAAATACTTTTCCCTTTCCAAGTACACATGTATGGAAGGCTAGATTTTTGCCAGTCTTTAACCAAATCAACGTAAGACTGAATTCAGAAGTACACATAACAATCCAGCTGTCTTCTATAAATCCAGACATTACTGTGATTCGCAAAAATCAAAATAAGGAGTTGGAGGGATGGCTCAGCGGTTAAGAGCACTTGCTACTCTTGCAGAGGACCAGGTTCAGTTCCCAGAACCCACAAGGCAGCTCACAATTGCCTGTAACTCCATTTC